GAACCAAGTGTTCAAATACATGAGCCTTTAGGGGATATTTCACATGCAGACCATAACAGATTCATGTGCAGCATTATGGGAGGTAGATGATGGAGGAGGGCCCAGTTGGAAGAATTAGGTCATTAGGGGTATGCTCTTGGGGGCCATATCATACCCTAGCCCCTTATATTCACTTTTTCTTCCTATCATGATATGAGCTGCTTCCTGACCACATGGGATTGAACCACCAAAACAGCCAAAATATTACCAATGGTAGAAGTCTGGGCCAGGGATTTCTAGGTTCTTGGCCTCCTATTCAAAGGAGGCCAGAAGAAGGTGTTGCATCCCCTGGAACTGGAGTTGTGGACCGTTGTTAGCTACCACGTGGGTACTGGGAATCGAACTCTGGTCCTCTGGAAGAACAGCAAGTGTTTTTCACAGCTGTGCCATCTCTCCAGCCCCCTCTTGATTTTTTTGAACTAGGGTCTCGTTTTAAAGTCCTGGATGACATAGAACTTGCTATGTGGACTAGGCTGACCTCAAATTTTCGGTAACCTACCTTCCTTTACCTCCCAAGTTTTGAGATTACAGGCATACACCATCACACCCAGCTTTGGATCTTTTTGTTGTTATTGTTTTGTTTTTTTGTTTTTGTAGTTTTGAACTCCGTGCCTTACACATACTAGGCAAATGCTCTGTCACTGTGCCCTAGCTTCTAGCCTCCATTGTCTTGAGACAGGGTCTCACAAATGACTAGTTATCCTTGAATTCACTCTGTATTCCAGGAAGGCTTGAACTTGTGATTCTCTTTCCTTCTCCTGGCCTGACTAGATACAGATATTATCTGTCACTAAGCACTGATCTGAGAAGAATAAAGGTTTTAAGGCTCAGAACAATCAATATTCCCAAAGTCAAATGATGACATCAAAATAGCTCAACAATTTGTTATTAGGCCTCATGATAGGAGTATTAATTTGGGTTGAGATATCACTAAGGCAGATTGAAATCTTTTTTAAAAATATTTTATTTTTATTTTATGTGTATGAGTGTATTGCCTGCATGTATGTGAGTGAACCCGTGTCATGCAATGCTGTGGAGGTCAGAAGAGGGCTTCGGATTCCCCTGGAACTGGAGTTAAGGATGGTTTGTAGCTGCCATGTGGGTGCTGGGAATTAAACCACAGTCCTCTGCAAGAGCAGTCAGTGCTGTTAACCACTGAGCCATCTCTCCAGGCCTGGAAGATTAAAATCTTAACTTCTTCCAACAGTATCCATCTTAGAGATTAAAGAGCTTTGAAGCCAATAATCACTGCACTGACTCTGGCCTTCAGTTAAAGAATGTCAGTTCTCCAATTAGTCTTGACAGGGCCAGCCTGTAGCTTACTGTTTCCCAGACACATGCCACCTCTACCTGTATTGAAATACCTGTGGACATCCCATTTTCCTATCCAAATGTCCTTGGATATTCAGCAGGTTTTCCTAGATTCTAACCCAGGACCTCTTAAGACTAATTTTACTGTGTTACATTTTTATAGAGAGGCAATCAGAGCTGGGGGAAAAAGAAGAACAAGAGGAAATGGGACTTGATTTCTAGGAAAAGACCACATGCAAATAATCTGTATTATCAAATGAGACTGTCATTAAATTTGACATGAGAGACAGGCAGGCTAATGTGAACATTTGTCTGTTCCTATTTTACTAACCACTGGATCACAAGTACACATTATTGTCCTTCACGGTGACTTTTTTTTGGGCCTTTGTGACAAATTGACCTTAGCATTTGACAAATGTTACACAATAAATCCTCAAGGATTCTCTGAGGTAGCCTCTATTCCTACTAAAGAGGTTAGGAAATTGAGACCGGGGAGGCTGATTAGCTTACTCAAAGCCACACAGAAGGTCAGGGCAGAGGTATAGTTTGAACATGTGTTTAATGACTCCAATGTCTTTCTCTTCCTCTTTTTTTTTTTTTTTTTTACATTTATTTGTGTGTGTGTGTGTATGTGTGTGTGTGTGTGTGTGTCTGTTTGTCTGTGTTTGTGTGAGAGTGCATCTGTCTGTCAGTGTGGATATGAGTTGCTCCTCTTTCTCTGCTATGTAGGTCCCAGAGATGGAACTCGGGTTGTCAGACTTGGTAACAAGTGAGTTAACCCACTAAGCCATCTCCCCCCAGCCTCCGTAAGTCAAAGACATTTTCCAAGACAACATAGTAAGCAACCTTTTATTCATTTTCCGCTCTTCAATGAATACTCCAAATAGCAGATGAAGTTTCAGTTATTCAGGATTCTGCCAGAAAAGCTGAAGTATTTATTTGGGTTAAAAATTCCAGAATCAAATGTACTAAAGCAAAAACAAAGTCCATTTTCTTCTAATACCCCCAAGTGACTTGCCCTAAAACTTCAACATTTAGTTACCAATTTATGATTTTTGTGGAAGAGAAACTGCATTCATTATCTAGTACTTTTAGTCCTTCCTTCCTTCCTTTCCTTCCTTCCTTCCTTCCTTCCTTCCTTCCTTCCTTCCTTCCTTCTTTCTTCTCTCTCTCCTCTCTCTCTCTTTTTTTTTTAAAGACAGGGTGTCCCTGTAGCCCCAGCTGGCCTAGAACTCACTATGTAGACTAGGCTGGCCTCAAACTCACAGAGATCAGCCTGTCTCTACCTCTCAAGTGCTGGGATTAAAGGCGTGTGCTACCATGCCTGGCTCATTATCTATTACTTTCTATCAATTTACTACAAACTGTATCAGATTAACACAATAATAATTTATTCTCTCCTAGTCTGTGTACATGGGAAGCCCACTTGAGCTTACTGGGAGCATCTGGCTTGGGCTCTCACAAGGCTCTAACAGAGGTGTCAGCCGTGGCGCGGTGATCTCAATGCTTCAGCAACAGGATCTTTTTGCAAGCTCAAGTTACATGGCTTTCAGCAGGATTTAGTTTCCCACAGACTGATGGATCCGGCTTCATTGCTGGCTATTGTCCAGAAACGCCTCTCATTTTCTTGCCACGTGGGTAGCTCATAGTGACCCTGGCTTCCTTCAGAGTGAGCAAAGGAGAGACCAAGAGCAAGCACGCCATAATCTAGTTTTAGAATTAACATCCTCTTGCTCCGTTCTGCTCATTAGAAGCAAGTTACTAACTCCAGTCAGTATTGGAGGAAAAGATGTTATACAAGGAGGCAGGGCTCACTGGGGAACCCTCAGAGGATGCCTCTTAACAAAGATGTAAACAAAGAATTACTAAACATGGACAGGGCTGGAGAAGATGGTTCAGTGGACAAGAGTACTTGCAAAGCATCCCACTTACAGTTTCAAAAGTGTGATGACTGCAGACTTTCCCCTGGATTAGTTTCTGACTTAACATGTTTCAAATCCTTTCTCCTTCATCAACCACATGGTTCTGATACCAGGTGCTGAGCAATGTTCATGGGCAATGTTAATGGGTTCTTTGTGTCACAACACTGAGTGAAATAGTATGGTGCTTGGTCAGGAAAATTCTTGGAAGCTATTCCATAATTGGGAAAAATAACAATAATTTACGATGAAAATGGCTCAGTTTTGATTCAACTCTCCTTCTCCAGATCATCAAAAATCCAGGGCCACACCAGGGCACTCAGGATTAAGGGAGTATGAAAAAGGGAGGTTAGAAAAAAAACAAAACAAAACGAAACCCAAAACAGGTTTAAACAATCTCCATTTGAGGGGTGCTTTCAGATACCCTCCTTTTTAAAACATAGAAGATAACAGAGGACCATGTGGTCTCAGCACTAGAATCTCCCCTTGGGTCTTGGAAACAGCCAGTGACCAGAAGCCCTGAAACAACTCTTAGCTTAGTAGTAGATCCTATCAATATCTCCAAAGCGAGGGACCTTTGCTGGGAATGCCACTGCCCTGTCCTCTCTGGTTCAGTTCAGTAGTTACCTTTTCATTAAGCCTCAGACCAAGCACTCCCTCCTCCCTAAAGTGTTCTCATAGCCACCCCACCCCAGGCTTGGTCATGGCTCTCAGGCCCTTTTATACTTACATTATAACTTTTGATCACATGTTAACTTTGTGTCCTTATCGCCCTGGTACCTTGTAGGCTCACCCAGGGTGTGGTTCAACGCTTAAAAAGAAGTCTTTGTACTGTCACAGTGGGCCTCCAACAAGCCCTTGTTGAGTAATTGAATTAAAGCTCTTGATGAAAGAGGAAAGGCCTAGCCAGGAGGAACTTGAGCCACCCAGACTAGAACACCAGTGCTCAAGTGCCAGCCCACGGACTTGGGAATCATCTATAGTGGGAGGGTAAGAGAGACAGCTTATCATTATTATTATTATATTATTATTATTGACAGGGTCTCATGTAGCCCAGGCTGGCCTCTAACTCCTGATTCTTTAGCTTCCATCTCCTAAATTCTGGGATTATAGGCATGTGGCACCACGTCCAGCTATCAGCAGCCTCTTGAAATTCTGATAGGCTTTCTCCTATATATTGTTTTATCGCGCCTACACACATTACCATGCTGGTTATGGCTTCGACATGGACAGATCACATTTTCATGACAAAGCTATTTGAAATTTAGAGCGTCTTAGAATATTCAGGTACTTAAAACGTACGTGCCAGATTGTGAGACGGTGGAACTAAAGACTGGAATCTACAATCTTTAATCATTTTGAGCAATCCCGCACTCCTACTCCGGCAGAACAGAAACACCCCGGATGTGAAGTCCTAAAAGCGAGATCTGCGGGGCGAGCACGAATCCCACCGAGCTTGAGATGAAAATGGCTCGACCCAAGCTGTGAGGATCAAGACTCGCAGCTTTCCAACGGACGCACACCTAAGGATACTTACCGAGTGTGGGTCTTCCCACACCCCCAGGCGTGACGTCTACAAACAAAAGTATTTCCCGGGGAGGAGCACCGAAGACACAAAGCGAGGTCCTCCCGAAAGCACACGCCCCCTCATGGGGTCTGCGCACGCGCGCAGCCCTAGTTGAAAGACCGCCGGGGCTGCTCCGGTAGGCCGCCCGTCCTTCTGCCCCGGCTCCCTGGGCCCGCCCCCGAGCCGGAGCGGACATCTCATTGATCAGATTAGGCCGGCTCGGGGCGGGGATTGGCTGATTGGCATAAAGCTGTGGGCCAGCCAGTCTGGAAGGCTGAGGAGCTGGGGAAGGTTCCTGCTGTCGTGCGGCCGAGGTGAGTGGGGCCTGGATGCGGAAAAGCGGTTGGCGAGGGCAATATGGCTGTGACTCCGAGCCTGACGGCGGTGGGAGACCGGGGTGCGGGTGAGAGCGGAACGCGGCGCGGGCAGGCGGGTGTGTGGTGGGCTCCGCGGGTTGGAGGGAGGCCGGGTGGCCGCGGGAGCTGGGCGCGGAGGCAGCCGGGCAGCTTTGCCCAACCCAGCTGCTCCACGCCGTGCGCCGCCGCTGGCTCCTTCCCCTGTGGTCGGGAGGAGTCGTGGTCGCTTTCCGCGCTGGCCGCTAGGCGGCGATTCCCGGGTGCTGCGGCCTTTCCTTGGATCCGGGAGGAGCGCGAGGCCGCCCTGGACGTTCAACCTCCTCCACCTGGCCGATGTTCCCTGTCGCTGATGGCGCGCGGCCCAGAACTTTGTTCTAACATGCGCAGAGTTAGACATTGAGCTGACAGTCTGGAGAACTCGGGCTGCCACCCAGAGCAGTCCCTTTCACCTAGTTACTTTGAGATTCATGTCTTTATGACTCCGCCCTGATCAGCAGTCAAACTAACCACTTTTTCCCTATGTAGACCAGTCTGCCTCCAAATCGTATGTAGTTGAGGATGACCTAGAACTAATAATCCTTACTTGAGCCACTACACCCAACGAAATAATAAAAATAGACACTTGGAAATTATATGAAATTAAAATTTTAGCGCCTGTACGTAAGCTTTAATTTTGGAGACAGTGTCTCTCTTAGCCCAGGCTGTTCTGGAATGTACTACACAGGCTGGGCTGTCCTGGAACTCTAGGTGATCCTCCTGCCTCAGCCTCCCAAATGCTGAGATCACAGGTCCAAGTCACCACACCCAACACCATAAATAATCTTTTACTGGAATCCAGTTACACTCGTTTATTTACATAGTGTTTGTGGCTGCTTTTACACCACAATCTTATCTTCAAAGAAGTTATGACAGAGACTTAAAAGATTTAGTGTCCAATGGGATATCTAATAGCCTGGCAGCCCTTATCCTCCCCTCTGTAGTCTCTCTTTGGAGATAAGGTCCCACTGTGTAGGGCTTGCAAGGTGATATATAGACCAGGCTGGTGTGAACTTCTCTAGTGTTAGGATTACAGGTATGCACCACTACTTCCAGCACTTTTTCTTTCTTTTTTGGGCACAGGGTCTTGCTAAGTATTCCAGGCTGCCCTGGAACTTGCTGTGTTGCCCAGACTGGCCTCAAACTCACTGCCCTGCCTTATTTTCTAGAATGCAGAGTGATGTGTGCCACAAGGCATGGCTGACTTTTTTGCTTCTTAGTGTATAAGCATGTTATAGTCATCCATTGTTACATAAAGTTTCAAATAGATTTTTGTTACCTTTTCAGAAATAATTTAAAACCTGGTTTGGTGGTGAAGGCCTTTAATCCCAGCACCCAGGAGTCAGAGGCAGGTGGATCTCGGATCTCTGTGAGCTCGAGGCCAGCCTGGTCTCCATATTGAATCCAGGCTAGCTGTGGCTACAAGGAGACCCTGTGTCAAAAAGACTAATAATAATAGTAAAATTTTTGCTACATTTATTTTGTGCGTACACAGAAGACTTACAAGAGTTGATTCTTTTCCTTATTCCACATGGGTCCCCTGAGGATCAGATTTGTGTGGTCATGCTTGGCTGTAGACACTGAGCTATTTCATTGGAGCACTTACCTTTCTTGAAAGCAGGGTGGCTAGTAAAATAAAATATTCTGTCAGCTGGTAGAGCACTCTCCACATCTGTTTAGGGACCAGAATATGCCATCTTATTTATGATACTTAGGTTGTCAGCAGTCAAACTCAAAACTAGGCATTTATGGGAAGTGGCATTCTAGCATTAAGGATCATAAAATCGGGGCTGGAGAGATGACTCATCAGGTAAGCGTACTGGCTACTCAGGACCCAGGTCTGATTCTAAGCACCCACATGGTCACTAACAGCTGTCCATAACTCCAGTTCCAGAGGATCCAACACCCTTTTCTGGCCTCTGGGGGCACTGCACCCATGTAGTATACTTATATACATACAAGCAAAACACCCATACACATAAAATAAAATATAACAAAATCTAACTTTTTAAAGGTTAAAAAATCCATATGGGTAGGGCAGGAGAGATGGCTCGGTGGTTAAGAGCACTTTCTACTCTTGCAGAGGGCCTGGGTTTGGTTCTCAGCACCTACATGGCAGTTCTCAACTGTGCATGGTGCTGCATACCTCTAATTCCAGCACTTAGGAGGCTGACATAGGGATATCATGAAGAGTTTGAGGGGCCAGCCTAAGCTACATAGGCAAATCCTGTTAAAACAAAAGCCAAAGGTGACAAAATTTAAAAATAAGTGTGATGGCTAATTCTGGGTGTCAACTTGACTGGATCTGGGATTAACTGAAATGAGAGAGATCTTCTTGATTGGATCATGTGAAACTGGAGGACACACCCTGAGTGTGGGTGTTGCCTTCTGATGGCAGCTCATATAAAAGGCCATGGCAGAGGAGAACGCCTGGCTTCTTGCTACTTGCCTTCTCTCTCGCTGGTGAGTTCGTCTTGCTGCTGTAGACTAAAGACTAGCCCATCTTTTGGAATTCATCAGACCTTCAGTGCTAGATTGGGACGACTGAGACACACAGCCTCATGGACTGAGTGACTATGGATTCTCAGCCTCTCCAGTGCTAGATTGGGACGACTGAGACACACAGCCTCATGGACTGAGTGACTGTGGATTCTCAGCCTCTCCAGTGTGGTGCAGCCATTGTTGGACTACTCAGACTCTATCCTGTGAGCTAATCTGATAAATCCATATACATACATATATATATATGTATGTATATATGTATATATTTATTATATCAGTTCTGTTTCTAGAGAACCCTGACACACAATAAGCAAGAATGAAATTAAGTTGAAAATAATAGTATAGCTTATAGGATTTATTCAAAATTTGGTATATTAATGTTTATTAATCCATACATAAGTTCCACATTAGAGTAATTTTTAGGTCTCTACTTAGATTTTATTTATGGAGTGTGTGTGTATTTTAGATAAGGTCTTACCATGTGGTCTGTGATAACTCTAAACTCCCGATTATTTTGTGTGAACCTCTCAGGTCTTGGAATTACAGGTGTCAGCCACCAACCCTGACTCATTTTCTTAACTTTTAAGGTGTTACTGGCCTTTAAAAAATGACAAAAGTAAGGTAGGTGTGATGGTTCACATCTGTAATCCCAGCTTGGGGTGCTGGAACTCGAACCTGGGTCCTCTGCAAGAGCAGCCAGTGCTCTCAACTGCTGAGCCGTTTCTCCAGCCCCCCATTATAAATTTTTTAAAAAGTATTTAATCCCAGCTCATGGGAGGCAGAGGTAGGTGAATCTCTGTCTCCAAAAACAAACAAAACCCAAAAGAACAAAAATAAGTGGAGCACTTAAATTCATTGTATAAGACTGCTTAAAGTTACAAAAATGCTTCAAAAAAGTACCTAAGTCATCCATTATAGGATTAAACTGTTTCTCATATACAGACCTTTAGTTTTAAGTGGAAACAGAATCTCTCTTGCTAACTTTTATTATATATAAAGTAACCTCTAATATGTCCTTCAGGGCTGGAGAGATGGCTCATTGGGTAAAGGTGCTTGCCACCAAGCCCGACAGTCCAATTCCTGGAACCCATATGATGGAAGGAAAGAACTGACTCCCATTCTTGCAAGTTATTGTCTGACCTTCACTGTATGCCATGGCACCCCCTCCCCATTCACAAATAAATAATCAAAAACCATTTTTTAATATCCTTAAAAAATTAATCTCTAAGTACTATTGACTTGAAAACTTTTGTTTTAGTAGCTTTGGCCAGTTTCTTGTTGTTGAGAAGTAATAGAGGTCATGAGATTACTCGGTCAGTGTAGACTGAGCAAAACATCAGAGTCTGTGCTGGGTACTGGGAAGGCAGCAATATACTTTTTTGTGGACATACAAGAATTTATTTCAAATTGCTGCTAGTAACTTGCACCCTTAGGTTGAATATGCCTTACTCTAAAGTGATGGTGGAAAGCTATGACAAAGTATCAACTAGACCAGTGTGATGAGACTTATATTTTAAACTTTAAATTAAAAAAGTACATTAGGGAAGCTGGGCATGGTGGCGCACACCTTTAGTCCCAGCACTTGGGAGGCAGAGACAGGCGGATCTTTGTGAGTTCAGGTCAGCTGGGACTACAGGGAGACCCTGTCTCAAAAAGACAAAACAAAAAAAAAACAAGCAAAAAACCCAGGTGTGTCTCATAACTCCAACTCACAGGGATATGAAGCCCTCTTCTGGCCGCCATGCCCAAAGGCACATGCACCCACTCCTATACATACAAATAAAATTACAAAAACAAAACAGAATCTGTTCATTTAGCCCAGCCTAGTTATGAACCCTATGTAGCCCATATGTTGTTCTTGCCTCAGACTTCCAAATGCAGGGGTTATAGGTATGTTTACTCATACTTAGCTTTCTTAGGGCCCTCAAACAAAAACAATCCATATACCCTGTATGATAAGGAAAAATGAAGTATACTTTTGAAATATGGGGACAAAACCGCAGGAAGGATATGCTCTTAAAGGACAGCAACTTTCAATTAGTAAGTTGTTACTTTTTGCATTGTGTTTGGCACCAGAATGGGGACTGTCATTTGAGTAGTAAGGAAACATTCTCCATTCTCTTAGTACTCTGAGATAGCATTCTGATAGTCTGTTTTGCTACTGGAGAGGGTCTCAAGGGTGTCCTGTGGCTCATTTTTCAAGTTCTTTGTGTTTGGAACAAAGAATTGAGCAAGACACATGTTACTGGGGCATCAGGGCTTCCTTTGCAGGTTCTTAGTCTGATTGATAAAATTCATAAACAGACTCAGAAGGAAGCTGAAGAACCATTTTATTAGTTTGGACAGGCATGCTATAAATTCTGGCAACTGCTGGGAGGAAGGAGAGAAAGGCATGCTGTTAGAGTTAAAGGTAGGCAAAG